AACTGTGCCCGCGCACAGATCTGGGCCGGCCACCTATAGGTGGCCGGCACTGGGCCGAGCCACCTATAGGTGGCTCGGCCTTGGGGTGGCTCGGCTTTGGCCGAGCCACCTATAGGTGGCTCAGCCTTGGCCGAGCCCCCCCTTAGGCATGGTTTTCCGTTTTCGGTTCAGTCCGTAATCTGGTTCTGTGGTTGATTTATCCGGACTTGAATCGTTGACCTGATTTGGCAGTAAATCCGATTACTGATTTGGCAGTAAATCCACTTCTGAGTTCGAGTCCGAAACTGATCTTGATTCGATCGTGATTCGTCCGAGTCCGCCCTTGGTTGGATGACTCGTTGACTCTTCAACCCGTTAGCTTGATTCCGCACGCGAGTGGATCTATTCCGTTGTTTGCATGCGATTTGTTAACCTCGTCGCCTCGTTGGTTCGTCGGTTTGTGCTGAGCTGTGCTAAGGGATCTATAAGCAATTTTATACGCCTACATAACCATCATCAACAAGTGCAAAAAATGGGCACTAATAAAAACTCTCTTCATCTCCAAGGTGGTTCTATCTTATTAAGCCTAAGTTGACCGAGTGATTAAGCTCGATGAGTATTTCCATGCTTAATGACCTAAGCCCAATTCGGAGGGGATTCATTAGCCCAAAACTCGTTAAATAGTCACTTAGAAAGCCTGATATAAAGTAGAACAAAATCGTCAAAGAATAAAAAATGTTAAAAAAGCACTAATAATTCTTTTTATATATTTTTATATTTATATATATGTCATTGAAAAATAACTTGATCAAGAGACTTGAAAACTATTTGAAACAAAGAGCTAGCATGTTCTTTTCAAAACTTTTAATTAAATTTCTAAGTTAGAATTGATTTTATATAACTATAATGATAAGATTTTCTATGATATTTATTTTGGAGTTATACATAAAAACTTTTTCTTCAGTAAAAATGAGGTTCAATTAAATTGTTTAAATACATCAAGTGAATTAATAATGTATTGACTTCTTTAAATTGGAAGTTGATCAAATTTTATGGGTATATTCACTACAAACCCTCACGAGACTACAATTCATTCTCTAGAGTAACCTAGAGGTTTAAAGGCTTGTTATATGTACTAAATACACGGTACTATTCTTTCTCTTTGTACGAATCCGAAGTTCGAAGGGGAGATTTATTTGAACCTTAATCCTTGGATCGCCCATAAGCTACAACCGCGACTCTTACGAAAGTGAGTTATGATTTTTCTTTCTTTTATTTTCATTTTCTTTCTTTACTAGAGGACTAGCAAAAATTTAGGTATGGGAGATTTGATCATCACATTTTATTATAATTTTATACCTCCATTATTTATTTTATTTAAATAAATGTATCACTAATAACATGTTTTTCCCTTAATCTATAGGAAATAAACAATTATTAAATAAGAGCTTAAAAAGAACTCAAATTTCTAACTTTTTATTAAAGCCTAGGATGAAACCAAATAGACAATGTAAGCCCAAGAAACGAGGATCTAAAATAAAAAGAAATCAAATTAAATTTGGATTCAGGATGATCAGCCATAAAAAATAGCATTATCTCTCAATCTGAAAGACAAAATCTAACATATATATAGAAATAACCTATCTCGATGGGACAAAGCTATCTACATTTTTAGAATTATGAGATTCTAATTGAATCACCAATCACTTGGCTAATTGCTTGGCCAATTGATTTGTCAACCGATTAGTTTGTGTCTATATCAGTTCATGGCTGAGATTTAATCCTTATTCCCCGAGCCAAATTTAAGGGCTCTCTGTCATTGCTGTAGGTTGTAAAAAGGGGTAGAGAGAAAGTTTTGTAATAATCTCCATTTGGAGAGGAGGGTTACCCTAAATCGAGAATACCTTTCAATTGTAAGTTTTATTTCCAATTAATAAAAATAATCTTTTTCACCTTTTAAAATTTTCTTTTATTCTTCATTGTTGATGGAAATGAAGATCAAGATGAAGATTTGCTTTCAGTGGGCCACTCCATTGCAATGTAAGTTTTTATTTTTTTTATTTTTTTATTTTTTTTCTTTCTTTAAAAATTCATGTTTTAGGATTTTATTCTCTCTTTATTTTTGTATTGGTAGAATAGATTTATTTCAAGTCATATGGCTTGGATTTACTTTAATGTTCTTTTATATTTGTTGTTTTTTCTTATGCTTTGTGGAATTTATTTTTTTGTAATTTTCTTTTGTAGTATAGATTTACTTTTTTGCTCTTTTTATTTTGTTGATTAGATTTCCTTTATGCTCATAGTTTAGATCTTTATTTTCATACTCGTGTTATTATTTTTATAGTTATTTTTTTATTTTTATTCCTTTTCTTATATGCTTTCTAGCCTAAATTCTATTTTCTTATTTTTATTTTCTAAAATGTATAACAAAATCTTGTAGAAATTCTAAAATTGCTTGAAACTAGTTTGTTTCTTTTATGATTTGTGGATAACTTTTTTTTGCTTAAAATGATCGTGGTTTAAGTAATCAACTAGAGAAGTAATTGGTAGTAGAAGAATTTGATGATCTATGCTTATCTTGAGTGATTTAATAGATTATGCATATGAATTCTAGAATTACTATCTAATTATTGTTCTTTTCATGAATGGTAATTTTACTTGGATGATATTTGATAGGTTATGATTTTTAAAGTGATTTATTAATTTATGCTTAATAAATATAAAGTAAAATATGATTAAAAGAGAGCAGTTCATAAATTCTAAATGAAATTAACTAGTGGGTTTAATTCTTGATTCCTATCTCTTTAAAAAGAGAGCAGTTCATAAATTCTAAATGAAATTAACTAGTGGGTTTAATTCTTGATTCCTATCTCTTTTTCTCCTCCATATTTTTACTTGTTTAAGTTAAATTAACTAGTGGGTTTAATTCTTGATTCCTATCTCTTTTTCTCCTCCATATTTTTACTTGTTTAAGTTATCCCTCTTTGTGCTTAGTTTTTCTAGTCTTGATTTTATTCTTTTCTATTTTCTTTATTTTCCCTTTGTTTGTCTCATTTTTTTAATTTGTCCACTCTCTTTCTCTCTCTTATTCTAGTTTTTTTATTTGTAAATAAACACACACTCTCTATATCACTTTCACTTTGACTCCTATTTGTCCAGACACATCTCTAGGATCCAACTTAGAATTTTTTTCTACACCTTCTTCATGGAATTGACATTATATTATACTATAACTTTATTGTGCACTTACAATCTCGACACTATTTTCACAACACACCACCATCCCATAACTCCTTCCTTCTATTCAATTGGTTATATGCATATATACAAGAAACCATTCAATGAATTCTATCATCTTTTAAATGAACTTCGCAATGAATACATTGTCCACTTATCTTGTGGCACGTCAGATCGTAAACACTTATATCCCATAAAACCCAAATTCATCCATTAAAAGCCTCAGTACAATTTTGAATATATGCCTAGTTTCTAACACTTTTCTTCGTAATACTAGGAGTCTTATGAACTTTCACTCTAGTTTCATGAAGAATGATAAGGGATATATGATATTAATATAAAATAGCCTTAACCTCCTTAAATTCAATTAGATTGGGGACTCCCTATAACGATAAGTGTAATGATCTCTTTAGTACAAGAACTAGTGTCCTCACTCCTTTGACCATTTTCTAGCACAGCAAAGATGTTCCTATTGATAACCTCAATATTAGACACAGTTCTTTGTCTACTAGAAGAATAAACATGGGTCCATTACTTAATAGCTACTGATTCATTTTGATGCCTTTTGGCATAATACCGCTAGAGCTAGGGACTCATGGCAGTGGAAGAGCTTGTTCAAGGTAAGAGATATGCTAATTTAAAATGTGGTGATATTTCTTCATGCCAAACTTTCATATCTTATTGGATGTCTTGAGGTACCCCTAAGATTTCTACCCTCTATTATTCTCTTTGTGATAACGTGAACGTTGTGCCCTAGAGAATCCTTAATTGGAATCCTTTAAATGTGCCTAAGCATAGCTTCATTGGTTGGCTTGTGGAACGAATGAGGCTCTTTACTCAAGATTGTCTGCTTCACATGGGAATCTCTATTTCGAATTTTTGTGTTATGTGTGGTAATCACCCTGAATTTGATCGTCTCTTTTTCACATTGAAGAAATGGCAAGCACAGCGACGAAGACCACATGAAAAGACGAAGGAATAGGTTTGGGTGGTGTGCAGTCGATAACGTGTGGCGAGGCGGTCGACCGCCAAAAGTCCAGAGACTTAGGAAAGTTTCTGTCGTTTTCGCGGTCAACCGTGATGGGTTTTGCTGTCGACCGGCCATACCCTGTAGGGGTTTTTAGTCTCGGTCATTGGATCCGGTCGACCGCACGTGATTCTGCGGTCCACCGCGAGTCAGGTCTTCAGTTGAGTTTGGTTTTCTGACCCGTTTCGTTCTGAGTTGAAATATAATATTAATCCTAATTAATTAAGGTAAAGTAAGGACATTTTAAGCAGTCTTTGAGAGGAGATGTTACATTCAATTGTGGGAGATTTGTGAGAGATCTAGAGGCTTTGTTTTAGGGTTTATTTGGTGAGATTTGTAATCCTATTTGTATTCTCTTACTTTCTAATAGTAAGAATGTTAGCCTTGTTAGGTCTCATGTTTATAACCCTGCTCCCTAATCTTGTTTTGATGATCACAAACAATTCCTAACAATGTATGTCAAGTGTTTACATTTGTTTTGTTAGATAATCTACACAAATATCCAGCTGCAGGTTGGATGGAATTGCGTTTTAATTAACGATTATATCCAATGGAGGTTGGTGGAATATCGGTATGAAACAATGCAATTCAAGTTAAAGATCCAAGTTCCGAGCTCGAGAGCCCGCCCCACCGTCGCCGTTCTCGAGGTCGCTCGGCCGCCGCCGCCATCTCCTCCGCCGCCTCCTCTACGGCACCGCCTCAACCACCACCAACAATCCCAACCCAGGTACAATCTCCGCCGCCATCTTCTCTGCTCTTAAACAATCCCAACCCAGGTACAATCTCCGCCGCCATCTTCTCTGCTCTTAAACAATCCCAACCCAGGTACAATCTCCGCCGCCATCTTCTCCGCTGTTAAACAATCCCAACCCAGGTACAATCTCCTCATATTGAAATTTAAGGCATCTGGTGATTGTGAACAACTGGACCTGCTCTTTCAGATAGTAAGGACAGACAAGCTCATGTTGTGTGCCTGTTAAAGTTAATGTCCCAGGCTGCCTTCTTCGGTCCTGGCACCTTTCGGTTGATGAGAAGCTTATCCTCATCAGTGCTATGTAGGTTTCCTGCAAAATTTGGTTAACTAATATCAAAGAAGATAATTATATAAATAACTCAAATATAAGTATGACATTAATGTAGGGCTAGAAAGATTTCATTCATGTGAAACCATGTTATTAAGAGAAAGTTTATATTATTATTAGTGAGAAAAAGCACACTAATACTGTTAATTTATGGCTGCATATTTTAGAAAGCACTTTATATTTTGGTTACTACCATTAGCTTTCTTCTAAGAAAATAAATGTCTCGACCATATAATTTCAATGAATTGCACGGGGAAGCAATGCTATTGCAGGTTCTGAAGCATGATCTTCAAATATTAACATTGTCCAAACATCTAAATTTATAATAGAACTTATAGAGACTTTTATTCTCATAGGAGGTTTATTAGCAAGTGACGCCCCTGGATTCAAACAAGGCTGCAGTACCAGGTGAAACCTGGATTGTCAAACCGACCAAGCACCAAACACCATGCTACGACATGTTTCACCATCATAATCGTTATATCTCTAGTGGAAACAATAAATAGATGAAGGTACAGACATGCAAAACTAGAAATAGAACAACACCAAAAATACACAGAAGAAGCATAAGAGATATTAATAATGAGCCCAACTGGAATGAAATAGATATATCTCTGAGTCTGAACTGAGTCTCAAATACAATGAGTCAAATAAACAAAGTCTCACAAGGTTCTCAACTCTAAAATAAAATACCAATCTAGAGTCTGAAAAAAAATCAACTACATGTGGAGTTCTACAATAACAACAAAATATAATAAATAGCTAAATGGACAACTAAGATGTCCCATCAACCTGCGACTCTCCGTGCGCCAGACTCGTTGCCTGAAAGAGGGGAAACAATAAGCATCAAAGCACTAGCGAGATCATCACTACCTCTCCCCATGGAAAGGGGTAGGAGTATATATATAGAAAATAGAGTCAGTACATACATATATCAAATCATTAATATAGCTCTTCATGAATGAAAAATAAATAGTCAAGGAAAACATACTCCAATCTCCAACATAAAGAATAAATATCTCATCTTGAAGTGCATCCGAGTAGCCTGCTCTAATATAAGAGGATGCCAACCAAAACAAAACGAAATATAACTGCGTCCATAACGGGTGTGCTAAAATCTCAAAGTAAATACCCTACTCACGGGTAGTCTATCATGAAAGTAAAACTTATAACTGATCAAATATCTATGTGTACATCATCTTGTGCTATAGCGATACTTTTGTAATGCTCTTACTCAATCGCTCTGCGACAATAGGTTTTATTATCTCCCTATTCCGGATACGTGTAATAACGATACATTTGTAATACTTTTACTCAATCGTTCTGCGGTAAATAGGTTTCATCTCCCTATTTCCGGAGTCATATAGAACAACATTATTCAATATGTGTTAATCAAATTATCTCATGTCAAAAGTGTGTCAATCTAATACAATCTAGCATATGTGCACAAATCTCGGTGTGCGTGTCCTCATCTGAAGTTCACCATCATCCCAGGTGTTTAACAACCACTAATGCCATAGTCTATCATATCGCTCGAAAACCAAATAAAAAATCCAAATGAAACATGCAACAGCCAAAGCAGACTGGCGGTCGACCGTGACGGTTGACCGCGACGGGCTCCAGAGACTACCCAGGTCTCTGTCCTGCACGCGGTCGACCGTGGCGGTCGATCGTGAACCCTGTTTCCAGTTTTCCAAACTGGTTGTGTGTGTGTCGTGTTCATGTCGTGTTTTCTCGATGTAAACATGTCTAAATCTTCTTAAAATTTGTATGCAACCATGTTAGAGCAGATATGAACATCTAAAAACAACTCAACAATTATAAACATAATTTTATGCATTTGATTTGCTTTCAAAACCCCTAAAACATGCATAAAAGATCAAAACAACGAATCAAACTTCTTTCTTCAGATTAACCACGTTTTAAAATCATCTTCAGGTCTTAAATACTTCTGTAAAAATCGTTCTCAACCTTTTTAGCATAGAAAGACCTAGTCTCTTTACATATAATACAAAAGAAGATGACTTAAAACAAGTTAAAACCTCTTTAAAAACGTTTTAAAAACTAGGAGGGGGATTAGCAGAGATGATACTCGCCTTTGGTTGCAGGAAAACGTGTTAGAAGCAAGGTTGAAAAAGATCTCCACTCCAAAAGCTAAAAATCACCCGAAAATCCACTTGAAATCCTTCAATCTTCTCCAAGAAATCAAACTAGGGTTTGGGGGGTTTTGGTGGCTATTAGGATTCTTAGGAAAACTGAGAAAATCGTGAAAAACTCATATATATATATGAGGGGAAAACGGATATGCGTTTAGAAATCCGAAACCAACTCAAAACAGGAGAAAAAACAAACTACAGGTATCGCGGTCGACCGGGCTGCGGTCGACCAAGGCGGTCGACTGGACTGGGATTTCCCAGTTTCTCATGAGTTTGGCCATTTGTGCATGTTTCATCTCTTCTATCTCTCATGTATGAACTTGTTCATACTCAAAACACATGGTATTATACTCATATACCATTAAATGATATTTATCAAACTAAATATCCACATATCATAATTTATCACGCATTAATTTTATTATTCATAAATTATCGGGGTTTTACATGAGCTGCCAAAGGTGCTATGACATCCACTAAGTACTGCGGCTCAGGCTCTCTATCATCTTGCTCAGTTCCCTGAGCATGAGTACCTCTACGTCCACGTCCTCTTCCCGACATCTATAAGTTTAGAAGTAGAGCGCATTAGCACAATGATATTTAAAGTTAACAACCTAGAATGCAAACATTCTTACCTAAATCCTTAACTAAACGAAATTGGTACGTCGAGCGAAATAATCCAAACAAGGAAACCCTCATGTATATACCATATACTTCGATTGATTAAGGATTAGGTAAAAAAATAAAATATCCCTATTCTAGTGTTAAAGATAAATATAAATGTGACTAAACAATCATAGATAATGACAACTATCAAGTCATATAAGCACATTAACATCATACCTGTCCAAACAGGTGTGAGTAGTCACGACGAACATCCTCCTTGCGCTCCCAAGAAATCTCATCGGTTCCTTGCCGGTTCCACTGAACTTTCACTAATGGAATGACTTTATTTCTAAGCTTTTTATTCTCTCTAGCAAGTATGCATACCGGTACCTCTACGATAGTCAAATCATCCTGAATCTCAATCTCTGATGAGTCAATCACTCTCTGCGGCTCATCATCCTGCAGATTCTTCGTAAGCATCGAAACATGAAAGACATCGTGTACACTCGACATCGATGCTGGAAGATCTAATCTATAAGAAACAGCTCCAATGCACTCGATGAACCTAAAAGGACCAACATATCTCAGGGCAAGCTTCCCCTGTCTACCAAATCACTGAACGCCCTTCATCGGTGATACTTTAAACATGACTAAGTCTCCTATGTGGAATTCTAAAGGTCGTCTTCGCTGATCTGCATAGCTCTTCTATCGACTCTGCGCCGCAAGAATGCGCTCTCGAATCAATGCCACCTTCTCTATGGTCTGTCTAACTAACTCTGGACAATTCAATAGACTATCATCTGGCTCTGCCCAACATATAGGCGATCTGTAAGGTCTCCCGTATAAAGCTTCATACGGTGCCATCCCGATGGTATCTTGATAACTATTATTGTATGCAAATTCAATCAGTGGGATGTGATCCTCCCAGCTACCCTGACTATAACGCATGCTCTCAACATGTCCTATAAGATCTGATTCACCCTCTCGATCTGTCCCTCTGTCTGGGGATGGAAAACACTGCTAAATAACAACTGACTGCCAAAAGCATCCTCAAAACTCCTCTAAAAATGAGATGTGAAGACAGAGATCTGATCTGATACAATCGCCTCCGGAACTCCATGCAATCTAACAATCTCCCGAATGAAGATCCTCGCATATGTATCTGCCGTATAAGTCATCCTCACAGGCATGAAATGTGCGGACTTAGTCAATCTGTCCACTATAACCCAAATAGAATCATTTCCTTTCTTTGACTTGGGCAACCTTACTATGAAATCTATGGAAATATCTGCCCACTTCCACTCGGAAATGGGTAAAGGCTGTAGGGTTCCTGCAGGTCTCTGATGTTCTGCCTTAAATTGTTGGCAGGTGAAATACTTAGCCACATAATCTGCAATCTCTCTGCGCATACTACTCCACCAAAAATGCCTCTTCAGATCTTTGTACATTTTCGTCGTGCCTAGTGCACTGTATATCTGCTGCGATGAGCTTCGTCAAATAGTTCCCTCTTCAGCTGTAGATTGTTTGGCATAACGATCCTGCCCTTCATCCTAAGGCCTCCATCTACTCCAATAGTCCAATCATCCTTGGGTTTTTTGGAGATCTCCCCCTTGCGGGTTTGAATCCAAGAATCCTCTAACTGAGCTCCGACTACTCAATCTCTCCAAGATGGATGTACAGATAACGTTCCTAAGAACACACGGCTCCTGCCAATCTCTGGCCTGAAATCAAAATGCCTGAGGGTATAAAGATCCCGAAATAGTGAACACCTCAAAGCTACTAGTCCGCGACGACGCTTCCTGCTCAACGCGTCTGCTACCACATTCACCTTTCCCGGATGATACTGTATAGCAAACTCATACTCCTTAATAAACTCTACCCATCACCGTTGCCTCTGGTTGAGTTCTTTCTGTGAGAAGAGGTACTTCATGCTCTGGTGATCAGTGAATAACTCAAACTGTACTCTGTACAAATAATGTCTCCACACCTTCAATGCAAAGACCACTGCTGCTAGCTCCAAATCATGTGTGGGATAATTCTGCTCATGAGTCCTCAGCTGCCTCGAAATATAGGCTACGACTCTCT